TACCTCCTGCAACCTCTACCATCACCAATACTACCAACCACTGCCAGCAGCTGTAACCTTTACCATCACCATTACTTCCACCCTGCCCAAGATCACCACATTGCCATTACTGCCACCATGACCATTGTCCGCTCTATTACCACCACCAGTTCTAACACTGGCAGCTTCATCATCCTCATCACAACATGTCACTCCTACTGCCATCCACACCACTGACAACCCATCACCATCCCAACACCGAATCTGCCAGCACCATCATAGCCACGGTGATAGCTCGATGTGGGCCCTCAGTAAGCCTTATCTCCTTGTGCTCACGCCTCCGTGCAGTTGGCTACTCTTGAATTGGGGCTGTCACTAGAAGCTGGTGAAGGTGGCTCTGTGGGACTTCTGAGGCTGGTCATAAGAATCCTCCCAGCTTCTGCCTGAGAGCCTTGGGAAGCTGTTGCTTGGGAACTGGCTGCCATGTTATGCAAAGCCACGGGGAGGCAACCTGCAGGCTGTCTGGCCAACAGATCCAGTTGAACTTGCAGCCAAAGGCCAGCATCAACTGCCAGTCAAATGGGTGCGCCACCTTGGATGCCCAGCCTTGTTGGGTCTTCTGAAGACTACAGCCTAGCTGACACCTAACTGCAACATCATGAGATACTTTAAGGGAGAACCTGACAGCTGAACCATGATGGACAATACATCAACTGTGGTCTCAAGCCATTACATTGTGGGGCTGCTTTAGGCTGTAGAAGACCCCCCCGCCATTCAGCTGCTGCTTCTATCCCACCACTCCCTCCTCTGCTTCTGCTGAACTGCCTGGGCTCGGCTGGAAAGTCCCCCTTTGAGGTATCTTGAGATGTTGCAGTTGGATGTCAGTTGGTTTGTGTCATCTGAAGACACCAACACCCAGCCTTTCCTGGAAGCCCACACAGGGCTGCCTGCTCAACTTTCCACCTCACATGAGGGGCCTTGTTAGAGCTTCCCAGCAGCCTGGTGAAGGACAGACACACTAGTCCTGGTTTACAAATGAGAGAACAGAACCCCCAAGACTAAATGACTTGTCCAGATCCCATGGCTGCCAGGTGGCAGAGCCAGGAGGCTGACCAGGTCTCTCAAATTTCATGGAGCTATGGCAGGCTCGGCTTCAGACCACCACAATACAACGACTATCATAGTAAAGCGAGGCACACTAATTTGTTGGCTTCCCAGTGGTGCTGAGACAACACTGTCATCTACGAAGGGAGCGGCAGCATGAGGGAAGCTCTTGGAACACCATGAGAATGACCGAAATGGAACACAGAGACACCAGGTGAGCACGAGATGTGGACCACATGGCGTCAGTATACTTGCCTGATGCGCGGCTACAGAACTTCAATTTGTAAAAAACGAAACCAACTCAGCAGCTGTGAAGCCCACTGTCTGTCTGTCAGAGGAAGGGACTTTCGAATCTGTGCCTCCTGATCACTTTGGATTCGTTGTCAGGAGGGACCAGTCCCTGGAGAAGGACATCAGGTTTGGTAAAGTGGAGGGTCAGCGAAAAAGAGGAAGACCCTCAATGAAGTGGATTGGCCAAGTGGCAGCAGCAATAGGCTCAAGCGTGTCCACGATTGTGAGATTGGCCCAGGACCAGGAAGAAAGAATTGAAAAAATTAACTTGTGTTCTATGTTTATTTTAAACAAGTCAACATGCTACTGGGCTAAGAGGCTGAACAACGACAACCTTATGGCTTTGCATGCTAAAGCCCCCCAAAGTGCTGAAAAGGCAACCCCCCCTAACAAAACCCCCCAAAATTGCTGAAAAGGCCAAAGTCGACATTTTCCTAGAATCCTATTTTGAGAAAAACACGTCAACAGACAAGCAGCCAACCAAACAACCCACACACCGGGGTGAAAAGAAGCGGTAGTCTCTGAGATACTCTCAGTGTGTGTACGCGCTGAGTGACTTGAGTCTGCCCCTCAAAGAGCAATGAGCTTCACGTGAGTTTCTGTCACCGTTGGAGGAAAGAGTTTCCTTTAGTCTGAGGTGAAGTGAAGGAAGGGTTTTTGCAACAGTGCTGAAGATGCATCATTTCACTCTTGGAGATGTTCCCTGTCTGTCCAGCCTGCGCCTCCCTCCTGGGGGCCCCCTGCACATGTGCCATCCCCATGACTGGGTACTGGGCTCCACAGGGTTTCTGTTGGTTCATTTTCAGAAGTAGATTTCCAGGCCTTTCTTCCTAGTCTGTCTTAATCTGGAAGATCCTGTGAGACTCGCTCAGAATCACAACACACAAGCCTCCACTGAGAGACAAAGGACATGAAGTGTGCTGGAGGGGATCGAACCTGGGAATCCTACCTCTAAAGGACGGCAGCCTGCATTATTTCAAGTTCACAACCACCAGCTTCTAGGATCCTCTTAAGTCACCTGCTGATGACCACTGGGTTTGGGGTGCTCCCCACCTCCAAGCTACGTAAACAGCAGACAGTAGGCAGCCCCGCCTAAGTTGCCACGTGCAGAAGGGGCTCAGGATACTTGCCATGTCTGGAAGCATAGTCTGGTCTAGGGACCAAAATGATTTTTTGGTAAACTTTGCAAAAAGACTGAAGTTCCGCATCGAAAGGTCTCTGCGTCGTCCCCACAATCAGGATCCGATCGTCTGGTTTCAGGAGCTTCAGGATTTTGGGGAGCTGGTTTTTCAGGCGTTTGGGTTCCATCTGGGAAAAGAGGGGGGAACAAAATAAAATAAAACTGCTCCAACTCATGGAATGGAAAATGAATCAAGAGTGCAAGGAAACCAAGAATCAACGTGCTTAGAATGCAGTGCAGCAGACACTAGTCACGAGCTCTCGTGGACACAGTTTCTACCCTCCTTTTTGGGTTTCCATGTATGAGGGTCTTCCCTGACAACTTTATTGGGACAGATTGAAGACAATCTGCCAGAGTCTCACAGCTGGTCCTGTCAGGTCAAAGACGTTCTGTCTCAAATGCCCATCTAACTGAGCGAAGGTAATACAAAAGACTCAGTCTGTACACCCAAGTTCCTTTATGAAGTACAGACAGACAAACAGACCAGCAAAACTCACTGCCCTCCAGTACTGGGCAGAGTGGCTCCACTGGGTTTCTGAGACTGTAAATCTTGAACGAAGCAAACAGTCTCAGCTTTCTCCCTGGTGGGTTTGAACTACTCACCTTGTAGTGAGCAGCCCAGCGCTTAACCCATTGCACCACGAGGGCAAGTTCGTCCTAGGACACATCTTGTTCCCCATTCACCTGGGGGACTCTGATGGCTGGCATTTCTCCCATCCCCCGGCCCCTGGTGTTCAGACTTGGGAAGTGGGAAGGCAGGAAACAGCTGATGGAACATTCTAGTGCCCTGACCCTAAGTACAGGGAACAGCTCCTGACTTCCAAGTGGAAGGAAGCTTGCTGGGCCTTATAATTAGTCTGCGGTGCTGCTCTCTCCCTGAGTCGTCGAAGGCTTCCTTGGCCCATTGCGGGAACAATGAGAACCACAAGCCCTAACAGTACCCCGTTATGTGAGGTCGTGAGGCTCACCCTCTGAGGCAGGTTTGAAATAGTGTGAGCCTGTGTTCTTTAAGACTCATCACAACACTAATGAGGGAGCGGAACAAGACGCGCCCGGGGCCCTCTGTTTGGACCCCAGGAGGGATGGCTTCTGGTCCCTGGGAGTCAGATTTGGCCATGTTGCCATGGGCAACGTGCTGGCTGGAAGTCAACCTCGGCAGGCACAGAGGATGGATGGGAAGCATGGGAAGGAGGGCACGGATGATGCAGAGCCAGCAGAGACATCCCAGCACACTCTGGTGCATTTCTGCTCCCATTTTACTCAGAGGCACCCTGTGGACAACCCTTCAGTGGCCGGGGCCCCATGTGTCCCTGCAGGCCCCAGGAAACCCATTATGTAGGAAGGGGGTCTGGCAGCATCTTGAGAAGGGAGTGGATGCTGGAGAAAGTCACCTCAAGAAGCAACAGTGGGTCATGGGAACACTGGGCCACAGCCCCAGGCAGGGGTGACTGAGAGCCCATGGATTAACAGGGGGCCTGGGCAGGGCCCTTGGTGGGCAGGGTCTCTTGCAGGCTCTGGCCCTGGAATTGGGGATCCGACTATGTCTAACCACACTACTTGTGCAAAGAGGGAGAAGCAGGTGGTGTTCTGGGGGAGGGGAGCGTTCCTGGGGCTCCCTGGAATAGAGAGGAGCTGAGTGTGTGTGTGTGTGTGTGGGGGGGGGGGGGTGGTACTAGAGAGCAGTGCTGATCAGGAGGGGTTTCTTGTCTCCAGCTCTCCTTCCTGGATAAGAACCCACCCTGGTAAGGACTGCAAAAGAGGGTGCATGTGTATATACATTTATGTAGTTGTTAAGTGCCACAGAATTGGCTCTGACTCATAATGACACTGTATAGGGTTTCCTAGGAGCGACTGGTAAGTTTGAACCTGTGACCTTGTGGTCCAAACTGACCTTGTGGTCCAGTGCATTACCCCACAGCACCACACCAGGACTCCATACACACACATACATATATAGAAAGAGTCCTAGTGTGGTGCTGTGGATAAGCATTGGCCTGCTATCAGCAAGGTTGGCTGTTCAAACCCACCAGTCACTCCTCAGAAACCCTATGGCACTTAACAACAGCAATATATA